TAAAACCGTTGGCCTCATTATCTCCAAGCTGGGCAGGTACTAATTCAAATGATACAGTGTACTGTGATTGGTTACCTGTTTGTACTGTACCTGTATTCCATCAGGTCCACAGGGGGCTGTCCTTGGACCTGAGGAATCACATAAATTGCCATGCTTTGTGCCAGTAAAGCCAGTTCGTTTTGACCCTCAACTTGCAGCCTCGACTCATGTTGTAGGGATCCGGGATATTGATGCTTATTTCGTGCTTGGGGATATTCTACATTTGCAGCTTACTACCGAAAGACCTCCGTTCTACTCTCTGCAGCGGGAACCAGGACATCCAAGCGATCAACCCTCCTGCTAGACCAGGGGGCAATCGTAACACTATCCATAAACAGTACTATACCTAGGTCACAAGATAATGCATTTAGACTGTAAGAAAGGAGATTTAGTCTAAGGCAAATTATTTATTTACAGTGAGAACAGTAAGGATGTAGAATTCTATGCATGAAGAGGTAGTCTGTACAAATGTTTAACCAGCTACTGGATGAATATGTGCAAAACATAATCTTCAGGAATATAATTTTTAATTTGTGGGTTGACAGTTTCATTATCCAAGACAGATCTGACAGTCATTTTGGGATTGAGAATTATTTTTTCCTTAGTTTGTTGCAAAATTGAAAAGCAGTTCAACCTGGGGGTGTTTTTTTTGCCTTCGTTTGGGTCAGCAGCAAAAACAGATGTGAGAAAAGCTTGAAAGATGCATGTCTCTTTTCAGTTTATATAATTGTATAACTATGTAAAACTGTGAAGAAAAACATGATCCCCCCCCCCATTTTTTTTTTACATTTTATTCATAATTAAAGGGATTCTATAGTGGAAAGAATACAAATCTGAATTCCTTAATGTTCCTTAAACTATAGCTCTTCCCCCCCCCCACACCATTGAAAGGGTTAAAATACCCTTTTTGTACTCATCCAATTTCAGTGTCGATTTCTTTTGGTGCTGGGTATGTGCTCCGCCTCCTCCACTATGGTGGCTTGGCAAGCACTGCAAGTGCAGTAGGTCCTCCCAAAAGGAATGCATTGCTATAATTCTGATTGACAGCCACTATAGGCAGTCAGTACTGCAATGTAATAATTTCAGTTTCTCACAAACTACAATGTTTTACATTGTAGGACTTAGTAGGACTGAGACACTGCACCCAGATCACTTCAATGAACTGAGTGGTCAGTGTGCCTATAAGGTCCTTTTAACCCCTTAGTGACCAGACCATTTTTTAATTTTCTTACCATTAAGGACCAGGGCTTTTTAAATACTTGTGTGGTGTTTGTGTTTAGCTGTAATTTTCCTCTTACTTATTTACTGTACACACATATTATATACTCTGTTTCTCGCCGTTAAATGGTCTTTCTAAAGATACCAGTATTTTCATCATATTCATCATTTTTTATAAAATATGATGAAAATGTTTTCAAAAACACACTTTTTCTAACTTTGACCCGTAAAATCTGTTACGCATCTACAACCGCCAAAAAATACCCATGCTTAATAGTTTCTAAATGTTGTCCTGAGTTTAGAAATACCCAATGTTAACATGTTCTTAGCTTTGTTTTGCAAGTTATAGGGCTATATGTAAAAGAAGAACATTGCTGTTTCAAAATATATATTTCTAAAATGTATCATTAGTGACACTGTAACACTGTTATCTGTCATAAATCACACCTCACATGTACATATTTTTTTTTTTTTATAATTCTTTATTTTTGCAATGACAGAGAGAATTACGTAATGCAGTCATGTGGCTTGCGCAGAAGCCTCATTGTGAATTCAAGAAGTATATATTGGTGGTTCATGAGGTTTTCATGGCATTTCGTGTGCATCATCTGTACTAAAAATCTGTCTGTCATTGCTTTTATAAGTATTGTGAATGAAAAGAACAACAAGAAGTAATGTAAAACATGACTAATATATCATAACAGTATGTTTAAGGTGCCATCTTATTTTGGTGGCTTTGGTATGTTGAACTTATAGGCCGGGGTACCGGTTAGCTTGGCCTAATGATAGGGAGTGGGGAAGGGGGAGTGGGAAGGAGGGGATGGTATATGAGGGGGGGTGGTGGGGGTCTTGGTCGTCCTTTGTGATTTATTGTTTGTCGATGTAATTTTCCCATGTCTTAGTGAATGTTTTCATTGAGCCTCTTATTTGGGCCGTCAATTTGTCCATGAAGTGACACTCTTTAATTTTGTTGAGCACTGTAGACATTGGGGGAGGGGGGGGGGTCGTAACCATGTTTGGGCTAGGGCTTTTCTAGCTGCCAGTGCTATTTTGTTTAGCAATTGTTGTTCTGATCTGGACCAGTTGTCGAGGGGCTTGGCCAGCAGGAATGTCCATGGGTTTAGATCTACCGGTCTATGTAGTATTTGTGATATTAGTGTTTGGATGCCTTTCCAAAAGAGTTTAATTGTGGGGCAGGACCACCACATGTGGGTGTATGTCCCTTTTTCTCCGCAGTTAGTACATATTTTTTTAAAGTAGACATCGCAGGGTATTCAATATGGGGTATGTCCGGTCTTTTTTAGTAGCCACTTAGTCACAAACACTATATAATATATATACGCGTGTAATTTAATTCTAAGTGTATTTTTATATTTATATATGTATATTTTGCCGAGGGGAGACTGTATAATTTGCCGAGGGGAGACTGTCCTGGCATTTAGGCAGTCCTCCCAGACTGGGAGAAACACCGATCATTGGCGGAGGAACGATGTCGATCGGGTAAGTGCATAGGACAGCTCATATTTGCTTAAGGACCATTATTGCAAGTACATCTACGGTCCTTAATGAGTTTGGGTGCGCTTAAACAGAAATAGGGAAATTATGGTAGTAAGAACACATTGTAATGTATTTTTCTATTGTGTTAAAGGAACACTATAGGGTCAGGACCTCAAACATGTATACCTGTTAGTGTTAAAACCATCCTATAGGTGGCTTTCTCCCCCCTTAGTCTCCTAAGAAGGGGTTAAAACTCATCTTTATTCCAGCACTACGTGGTACTGCCTGGTACTGACCCTGTTGGATCTGGCCCCACCCCTCACCCACCTCCTTCGTGACATCATCAAAATTTACGATTTTTAACCAAAACAATGCTTTTCCATAAGGAAAGCATTGTATTGGCTGAAATCAGCAAGGAGACGGTATAGGGTTGGGACCAAACACAGTTTTGGCCATTAAGCACCTCCTCATAGAGATGCATTGAATCAATGCATCTTTATGACAAAAACTTGGCATCTCCATGCAAAGCGTGGAGATGCTGAAGGGCAGTGCTGCCTACTGTTCAGCACTGCCCCACGAATCACCTCCAGTGGCATTCAAAAGATTGGCCACTGGAGGTGTCCCTAGGGGGCAATGTACACACTGTCTTTTCTCTGAAAAGGCAGTGATTGCATGAAAATGCCTGAAGGCATTATACTCACCAGAACAACTACATTAAGCTGCAGTTGTTATGGTGACTATAGTGCTCCTTTAAGTAATATATGGTATAATCTCTCTTTGTTTATATATATTTTTAAATGTTTATGTTTTTTATTTTTTTTCTATATTGTGAATTTGTTTGTTATTACTTCACATCAATAATAGGGTTTGATTTAGAATTTAGCTGCAGTTTTTTGTGCTTGCAATGTTAGACCTCTTTTGTTTTGTATGTAAAAATATTTCTATGATTAAAATGTATGTTCTCTCTTTAAAATTAAATGTGTAGGAATTTACTTTAAGGGATTGCATATTAACCTCTGGATGTACTATGGATTTTCACACTAGACTCTTGATTGGATGGGATTTTTAATTTAAAATCTTCAAATTATAACTACAAGCTTATCTATTAATGATTGCCTCAATACAATATGTTATTTATCCTGTTCAATTCTCAGCAGGGAGTAACTTTAACTGATATTTTGTAAAAAATATTTTATGCAGTATAGATATATACATAGCATCATATCAACTATTGAATAATGCGTTTCTTGGGTTCTCATTGTTTTATGGGGGTTTTCTTAAACCCTTTCTTATGGAACTTGTGTTTACTTAATTCCCAGGGTGTGCATCAGACCCTATGATTGTGCACACACCATTTTTAATATTACAATGGATTTATGTTTTATGCAAGCAAATTTTCTGTCTAATTTGTCCTCTTTTGCGGTCCCATTCAACAGTGCTGGTGCTACTATTATAGATCTTCCTGCTTAAAGTGTCACTGCTTTCAGAGCAGGTCTGCACCTCTTCCATGGTGTATATTACTTCCAGTGATCCCTCCCATAGATAGTTCTTCACATACACAGGTAAACAATCATAATCACATGTGCTGACATTGTCAGAGATATGCACAGCCAGATACACCCTGTGAGACCCACACTGTGATTGTGTGTCTTTATCTGTCAATATCTGTCTGTCTTCATCAGTTCTTAATTTTTTTTTAAGGTTTTCTGTCAAACCACATTTTTTTGCTTTTGTTTCATAATGTGCTTTCTATGAATACTACAATGAAAATTACATTTAGTGTCCGGTAAGCTCCTCCTGCACACAGAAGCAGACATACATATTTCGAGCTCTCGGAAAAAAAAAAGCTTTTGCCTTAAATACTGAGTCATGACAAGGAATGAAAATTTTAAAAAAATCATTAACACCATGGGAGAAAAAAAAAAACAAGCTCTTTAAAAGCAAACCAGCCCTGCTAACTAAAATAACAGGAGACTTACTCCGGATATTTCCACAGCCATGGCCTATCAAAACTGCGCCCGCACGAGAAGCCCCAGACTCCACATCATAGAAGAGGGAGGATGAGGAACCTGACAGCTCCTTCAGGCCAAAAAAATCCTCCAAGTAAGCCTGCATCTGCGCCAGAATTTATTCCAGAGAGCAAAGCAGATATAAAAATTCTCCTTTAGGAGCTAAAGTCCCTCTTTGCAGCTGATATTGTGTTGGTCTGAGAAGACATTAAAGCTATGTCACCCCATGTGCAGGCCATGGAGGATGCAAACAATGTTCAGCAGAATACTCAGAGTGACCTGAGAACTGAAGTCAACAGGAACAAACAAGCCAACGCAATTTTGGAGACCAGAGTGTCAGCTCCGGAGGATGCCAGACACCAACAAAACCTCTGCCTCCGGGGGTTACTGAAGAGGTAGATGACAATGAATTGCCCCATTTTCTGCAAGGCTTGCTGACCTCCATACTTACCTCAGCTAAGGCAAGAACCACATTGGTGGATCACTACTTTAGAATACCCAAAGGATCCAAAGCCCCAGAGGTAGTCCCAAGAGACATACTGCTATGTTTCCAAACAATCCGCAGTAAACTAATGGTGCAAGCAGCAACCTGTGCATCTAACATGCACCACTTCGAGGGAGCAGACCTCTCATTTTATAAGGATCTATCTAGGTTCACAGTGCAATGGAGACAATCAATGAGATCAGTAACATAACTACTTGGGGACAAAGGCATCCCATATCGCTGGGGTCCTGGGCACAAACTATCTGTTCTTAATGAGGGAAAATATATTCACATCTCAAACGCATTAGACTCGAAAAAGTTCTTATTGCAACTTATTCTGTACCTATTAGCGCTGCTTTAAAACCAAAGGTTAGCTAGTGACAGTTTTAATCTAATGTACTACAGTTGACACTATTTACCCTTTAACCGACACAACCTTATTCTGTATATGAAGCTACTCTGTTGCACCCAAAATGTGTAATTTTCTGCTTTTTTGACTGGAATATTATTACTTCTATGCAATGCTACAATAAAAATAAAAAAAATAAAAAATTTAAAAAATGAATAGAAGAAAAAATAAATAAAAATAAAATTGCATGTAAACATTCAATTTTGGGACGCTCAAGATAATTTTTGTTGTTGTTTTTTTGCATAGCACTTGGTAGTGAAGTGGGGTAATATTCTCATAAAGTTAATGGTAGATAATGATAAGACTGACATTCAGATTTATAGTATTTAGGAAAATATATTGTTGTTTTCTAATCCCTCTAAACATGAAGGGATTCCAAATTACTTTTTAACGTGAGTTTGAGAAAATATCAATTCATTATCAATTTGTTCCACTATCTTCTTGCATCATCAAGCAATCATAATGGAAACAAAAATGTATTCTCTGAAGCATAAGCTCAAAAGGTCATTGTGCTTCTTAAAATCCTCATTATTTCTAATTTTAAATAAAAGGAAATTATAACAACAATCAAATGCCAATACATCTTCAAGTGCAGTTGATTACACTTTTTTTTATAGCTACGTTGATTGATAGATCTATGTAGATGATAAGTGTTTGCTTTTGGTATGAGTCTGTTACACACTTTATATATATTTTAAAGGGAATTTAAATAGACTAAATGAAATTTAGTCCAAAGCTGTCCAGAACTGTTCCAATAGCTGAAAAATGAAAATTCCAATTATCTTTTATTATCACTTGAAAGTGAGAGGTGCAATTAGATGACATTTAAAGAATTACATTTATGTGAGTTTAGGACATTTTTTTTTTATAAAATAAACAATTTTCTACAGACCAGTGCCTATAAATATACATGGAAAACTTCAATCCTATGGAGAGGGCGATATCATCCTCCACAAGGGAAATATTCAGCTGATTCCTCATAATTATGTGGTGGTATTGTCTAATGAGAATGTTCCATTATTGACAGTAAAGTGTTAACTAAGTGAAAGAAAAAAAAAAGCAATAGAAACAAATAATCAAGAATTAGAAAAGGAGATCTAGCACTGGAGAAATTCCATTAGGGGAGAGATAGTTTGATGCCCTCTATGGATTAAAAATTCCACTCGGCAGGGTTCCTATTCATTGGGGGGGGGGAGACTATCATATATAAATATATAATTAGTGGGTGCAACCTTGAAACTGAGGAACATGCCTGCCAAAGAGTGCTAAGAGGACTTGTATCTACTGCAAAAACAACTACACAACTGTATCTATAACAACCGAAGCTAGATGAAGCATGGTAAATATAGAAATAGTGTATGAGCATTAATGCACATCCTAACAACATCACAAGAATGGAGAACATGCTGCACATCCTCTAATCCATCAAGCCAGTCTCTGGACAGTTTACTTACGGGAAATTTATACAAAATAGAATAAATGTTATTGTGTTTGAAATAAACATATACTGTGAATGCTAAAGGCATTACTCCGAAGCATACAATCAAATCTTTTGTTTGAGGAATTTAACACAGAGACTTTATACATTTATCATGCAAAGGTTTTTATCTTTAAATCAGGAGGAAAAATAATTTGATAAAGTGCAGTTAATGTATTGCTTTCAAGTTTAAAGTATACTATATTTCAGATATCAGATATCTCTTTTTTTTTTTTTCAAATAGTATTTATTGAAAATGTTTGCAAAGTTTACCACAAATTATATTAACAGTGTAATGAGGGTAGGGGATGAAGGGAAAAACTTGGGGAAAGTGGGAAATGGGGATATCCATCCATTATAACAATAAGTACATTAATGTACAAGGTATATAAATTGAATAATACTCCATAGCAAGTCATTACAGATTATAATTTTTTTTTTTTTTGTAACATCTGTTGATGGAATTTTTTGAATAAAGCTAATTCGGATGTGAAGCTATGTTACTGTCCACTTTAATGATCAAGTTGTGTATCATTTTCCAATATTTAGGGAGTCTTGGGCAATACCACCATATACAAAGAAAAATTAGCACAAAAGTGCACTAAACTGATCTGAAAATATAGAAAAACAGAGAATAGTGCAGACCATCTGAACTAAACAAAGTATATATAGGGGGGTATGAGGGAAAACACTCACATTGACCAGAGCCCTATCACCCCAGGCTCTGGGTTTGTAATGCTCCACTTGAGAGGGAAAATTCCCACACTGATAGGCTTCCAAATGGTGTGTTCACTTGAAGACTGGTTAAGCTGTGCAAAATAGGACAGAGAGAGGCAGGACCTCCAATTGAATAGTATCAAATACACTTTATTAAAAGACAACAGTTAAAAACTCTTAATTTGCGAGTGGTGGGTTATGCTGACATAGCTACCCACATAAAAGCATATAAACAGCTGATAGAAAGTCACTTCCTGGTTTCGTCCGTCCAGATCACGTGATCACTTCCGGGTCCGCCTCTCTTGTGACGTGTACGTGACGCGTTTCGCCCGCCTCCACAGGCTTTTTCTTCCTGGCAAACCCAGAGCCAGGGGTGATAGGGCTCTGGTCAATGTGAGTTTTTTTCCTCATACCCCCCTATATATACTTTGTTTAGTTCAGATGGTTTGCACTATTCTCTGTTTTTCTATATTTTCAGATCAGTTTAGCGCGCTTTTGTGGTAATTTTTCTTTGTATTTGTGTATACTTCTGTATCACTGGGATCGAGTGCTGCCTTACTATATTTGTTATATCCTATAGCGCTGACACACTGTTGGTTTTGGTTTTTGTATTCAATACCACCATATGTTGGCCATATTGCCCAAACCTCCGCAGTCTCTCCAACATCGATCACTGTACATATTGTTCATATTATGCAACCTGGACGGAGCTAGCTTTTGGCTATTTGGGACTCCAATACCCCCATGAAGTTTATGGTGCTGCAGGGATGTAAGCTTAATTCTACTAGGTTTGTTATTCCAAATAAATGTTAGCATTATAGAGTGTACTTTATTGAAGAAGGACAGTGGGATGGTTAAAGGGATAGTTCTAAAATAGTATAAGATTTTTGGAAGGATTGACATTTTTAAGGAGACAATTCTCCCTAACCATGATAGCTCCATCCCACCCCATCTCTCCATCTCTTTTTGTAGGCCTGGCCATGCTCTCTTTAAGTTGTGAATATGCATAGATTAATTCCTAAATACTCTAAGTATTCCCTCCTCCAATCAAATGGATATGGTGATCTTAATTCATCCGTGTCAAGTTTATTCAAATTGAAGGGGAGAGCCTGAGTCTTAGATACATTCAATTTATGGTATGATACTTCCCCATACTGAAGCAGGATAGTATAAAGAGACCTCAGGGAGTCTGTTGGGTTTTTGAGAGCTAGAATGACGTCGTCTGCAAATAATCCTATTTTGTGTCTAATTTTTTCTTCCAGCAGGACTTGTGAAAACCCATGTTAGAAACAAAATTATGCATAATTCTATTTTTCATAAAATTGTAATTTATACATTTGTATTTTTTTATATATATTTGGTGATCCTAAAGTTGATATCCTTTGGAAATATTTAACATACAATATCACCACTCCAAGAGATGCAGATGCAAATGTTTTGAAATTCTTGAGGCTTACCTGATCTACATTGTCCTAAATGTGAAACTAAGTAAAACACATAAAATGTGTCTTTAATGACACCAAGAGAAATTTCTGAGTTAACCTAACCAGGAAAGATACAATAGAACCAATTTTATCATAGACTGACTTTTCATTATGTATCTAGATATTATCATGATCTATTTTATCTGTAGCATTAAATCACCAATTATTTTAAATATGGGGTATTATTAGAGTATCTAAAGACATAGTATGTTTCTGTTTCCATAGAAAATAGAAAATTAAATAGAGTATGTATTTAAAATATATTAATGATATTCAAACATAAAGTTAAATAAACAGAAACATTAAGTGCTTAGAGGTTTGGAGTGTTTCTTTAATTTTAAACACATACACCCTCGTAAGGTTTCCTATAGAAAGTATTCTACAGGCTGGGAGATCATCAATATTGAAGTTCTCACTGGAGGAGTAGAGCTGCAGCTAGGCAACTCTCTTGTCCACTGGATTACAGGTAGGTAACTATTGAAAGGGAGCCCAAGAGATTAAACAATGGACAAGGGGGGAGGGTGGATTGAAGATTAAAAAATTCTTAAGCATTTTATTTTATAAATAAATGTATTCATTTATAACACTAGAGTGTTTCTTTAAGAATTATTAATTATTTCACAAGATATTTCCTGCAAAATGATATGTTCTTTAAATAGGAGACAATATATTATTTTTACCAAGAACTGTAGAGTATTTGCCACTAAACCACATAAACCACATTATTATATTTAGATTAACTATATTTAACATTTCCAGTTTTCCTAAATGTTATTAGCATATCTGAGGAAACTGTTGTGTGTATTACTTTACTATGTAAAGTC